CTCACCTGTGCCTCCCCCTGCACACCTGAGCTGGAGGGGAGTGGGGAGGTCTGGGGGGGGGGTGGCTGCTGCTTTTCCTTGCTCCTGTTTTGCTCTGAAAGCCTGGGATTTGGAACTGTATTTATATCTAAATGAATTTTCCCACCTGTCCCACATGCAAGTGAGGTGATGCTCTGGTGGCTGTCCTCTCGCAGGGGAGAGCTGGTGGGTGGGTGCCCTGGTGTGGGCTGCTTCTCCTCTCACAGCCTCCCCTTGCCCTTTGGCATCAGTGCCGTGGTGTTTGGAGGCGCAGGTTTCTGGGAGCTGTTCTCTGCAATTTGCAAATTATTGAATCAGCTCAGAAACGGCTGCCCGAGGCTCCTGGCTCGGGTTTGGCAGGAATAGGATCAGACGAGCCTTCTGGTCTGAAAATGTCTGCAAGTGCCTTGGCTGATTTACCCAGATCTTCAGGAAATTGCCACGTTCTCTGTTCCTGCAAGGAAGAGTAGGCAGCACATTTTGTAAAAGATAAAAACTTCTTTTTACCATTGCTTGCATATCTAGCCTCGCTGTCCTGGCCTGGCCCAGTGGGAAACCCTTGGCCAGTTGGAAAGATTCCAGTGTCTGTAGAGGTGCAGGCAAAGCAGGAGTCAGCTTCATGGGATGAAGCTTCATGGGCAGCACAGGCAGCAGGGTGACCCCCGTGGCCAGCACAGGCAGCTGGGATCCTGCCTGCCCAAGTGCAGGACGCTCTGAACTGTTCAACAATGTTTATTTGCTGTTTGGAGGGCAATTAAAGCCAGCCCCAGTGGCAGTTAAATGTCACCTTTCTCTGGGCAGGGCTGCGGTCCCGCTCCGAGGACACTGCGTGTGTGCAGGTGCAGGCTGGCAGTTTGCAAATACATAATTTATTGCAAGAAATGTAGATGAGAAAATGCTGCACTTTTTTTTTTGCTGACTCTCAGGCTTCGATGTGAGGAGGCAATAGTGCTGAACAGGGCTAAGCTGAGCTGGGACATAACAAGGTAAATCAGTTCCTATGGAGGATGTTCCATGGCAGGGGCTCTGCCCAAGGGTCTGGCAGCTCTGCAGGACTGAGTGCTTGGGCTGCACCCCGGGTCTGGGGGGGATTCTGGAGCCCCACAACTGTCTGACATCAGTGGGAGCCTGCAGCAGTGCATGTCCTCTGCTGATGCCCTCCGTGGGATGAGTGATGATGCAGCGAGATCTTGCCTGCCTGGCATCCTGGGATTGGGTGGAGAGCTGCTCAAAGTCAGGGCAAGGTTTTTCATTCAGGCACTCACTGCAGATTTCCAGGTGTAAACTCACAGCAAGGTGCCCTTGTCTGTGTTGCAAAAAACCCACAGTTTTAGTTGAGTTTTTTTTGTTTTGTTTTGTTTTGTTTTGTTTTTTTTGTGAGCAGCTGGCAAGAGTCCCTGGCCATGCTGCTCTGCATGGTGCTTGTGTCCTGGGAGCCAGGGGTCAGTCCCAGTTGTGTGGGGGATGGAGAGGGAGGAAAAGCAGTCTGTGCCCCACTGCCTGCTGTGGACAGGGCTGAGCCTGGGTAGGGAGAGGATGGAAAGTGATACAGAAGCACAGTCCCCTCTGAAAACTTAGGAGACTGAGCATGGAATATTAAACAAACAAAATGGAAGCAGCTGGCAAGGTGATGCCCATCAAGGATAAAAAATGATGAGTCCAAAAACAGAGGCTGTTAATTTACAGGAGAGTCATTGCTGACCTTCTCAAGGATGAGGCATCTGACAGGCAGAACTTGTTGCTGCAGGAGTTTTGTGCCTCCTGAGGCCAAGTTTGGTCTGTGGAATTAAGCACAGGCATACAGGTAACTTGGGGTGCTCTCATCTCATTTGCACATCTTGACAGAGGTAGAGCCAGCACATGTGGAGCATTTTACCATGTCAGGTAATATGTTGGCATCTCCCCTCCCTACCTGTGATTTATCTAAATGTACTGTGTTGATTTAGAGCCTGTCTGGGAACGAGATCAAATGGACAAAATGAGGTGGGATGCATTAGGGGTTTTTCGTTAGGCTTTGGCTTGAGAGAGCATGAGAGAAGTGTGCACTCGGAGTCAGGGTCTGGATGGGAATGCTCCAGGCAGCCTGGGCTCGTGCTGAACAGGACTTTTTAATCAGAATTTCAGTATGTCCATGGGCTTTACCAAATACAGGGTATTAATTTAAAGGTGCTTTAGGACTGTGATCAGGGATGCTTTAAAGAGAAAGACCTCATCTGCCCTTGCTGCATTGGGAGCTCACCTCACAACCTTGCTGTGTTGGGAGCTCATGGGTGTCCATGGTTTTTCCCCAATTTGGGGGGGAAAATCCCCATTTTCTCCCTCTTTGGAAAGAGCCAGAAGAGCAGCCCTTGGCAGGTGGGCTTTGCCTCCCTAAGAGCTGGCAACAGGGCCTGGCCAGCACAGTCCTGGGGGTGCTGGGATGGCTGGGGTGATCTCAGTCTCCATTTGGAAACCCTGCAGTCGGCCCTGCCATAACCGCATTAAGGTATTTCCTTAATTAGATTTACTAAGTATGCAGGATTCTAATTCTCTCTTTTCCTTCTCTCTTAATTTGCCTAATGAGAAAAACAAAGAAATAAAATTACAAAAGCCATGCGCACGTTTCCTTCTGGAGAGGCTGGTGTCTGGCTGCGCAGTTCCGGAGGATGCTCAGGCCCATCCCTGCGCTGGGGCCCGGCTGTGGCCGTGGCCAGGGTGGGCAGTGGGGGCGGGCAGGGCCCCCTGGTGCTGCCAGGTGCCCCTTGGGAGCGGGCACAGCGCTGTGACCTGCGGCTGTCAGTGCTGGAGCCGCGCGGCTCCCGTGGTGCCAGGAGAGGCGAGTGCATGCGGAGCTGCCCGGCGTGCCCAGCGCCCATCCTCGCCGGCGTGGGCACCTCCGGCTCTGCTGTGCTTCGGGCTTTGCAGAGACCCCCGGTGTCAGCTGGGGACCGGGTCACTGAGCAGGCTGCTGAGAGTCCCCGCTGGCTCGGGTCGCTTCAGGGGGATCCCCGAGGGCTGCACCCTGTGCACAGACAAAGATGTGCTGGTCTTCCCCATGATTCATTTATCATCCCAAGGGCAATCCGTTTGGGAAATGGGCCGGGCCTTGACCCCAGCGCTGCTGGTGGGCTGAATCATCGGCGTCTGTGCTTGGGCTTTAACATAGCAGATCCTCAGCGCAGAGGCTCTTCCACGCAGTCCTTGGGGATGGGCTTGTTTTGCTCTCCCGGAACTGCAGGAGCAGTTCCAGCAGTTTGGCCCCAAAGAAGCAGCCAGCATGTGACAGAGGAACATGTTGTTAAGTTGGGTGATTTTATAATACTTAGAATATGATGCTATGGCAACCCACTATAAATCCCAGATCAAATCAAATTATTTGTGCGCATCCCTGTAACTTTAATCTTTTCAAAGTCGTATCTGCTTTATGCCTTTGAGGCCACTGTGCAGCTGAGTGCAATCAGGCAGAGCTCAGGGTTCAAAGCAAGGAGAGCAGAGGATGAGTGGTTTGCTCCAGATCAGGCTGTGCTTTAGTGTCCTAGAAAGTCAAAGAGCAAACAAGGAAAATCTGTCATCATTGGCATTTTTCAGCAGTAGAGACATGGTGAGGTTGTGGAGAGCAGAGAGGGAAGGAGCTTGATAAACAGTATGTGTGGGCAGGTCAGGAATTCCACTATTGTCCCACGTTGCTCCAATTAATTTCTTGCATTGAAAAATCGGAAGATGCCAGGAGCTCAAATGAGGGGTTACAATGTAAATTTAACTTGCTCTGATATGAAAAAGAAGCTTTATTTTGATTTAATATAATGTGAAACATCAGTCCTTGGTTTGGATTCACGTTTGGAACAATGCAATGGGTATTTCCCGCAGTGCCTCTGGCTAAGGCCATGCTGCTGGCACAGCCCAGGTGGTGCCATGACTGCTCTGGTAGTGAGGAGGACGATGCTGCTGGTCCCACTTTGCCTCCCCAGCATCCCTGCTGCTCCCCACCTCATCGCCTCAGCACTCCCTGCTGAGAGGGGCTGCGGGACGGCGCTTCCCCACGACCAGCAGGCTGTTGTCCCCTGCTGTCACAAACACGGGGCTTGGGAGGAGGGGGTCGTGTGTGGGAGGCAGGGCCGGGTTGTGGGGCTGCTGGGGAGGGCAGCGTTGGCAGAGGCCGGGTGCAGCCTGGCAGGGGCTGTGCTGGAGAGGCCCGGCGGGCTCCGGTGCCCGCTGCGGCGCGGAGCCATCCCGGGGCGCGCTGCCATGGGAACCAAACCTCCTTACAGCGAGATAAACAGTTGGACATTTTGGCCCGGTTTCTGCAGGACTAACCTGGCAGGGACAAGAGGAAACTAAATTAAATCTCAGATTTTCTGACTCCCGGAGGAGCATCTGGCAGTGCCGCTACGTGATGGCATGGCTGCCTGCCCGGGAACCGCCGGGCGACAGGGATGGGAGTTTTGTTCAGGGGAGGGCTGAGGCCGTGCTTTTCCAAAGCTTAGGGGACTTTTGGGGGAACTGTCTTTGACAGCTTTGTGGCACAGGGGCTGCTTTCCGCTTTCCTGGGGTCTTGCATCTTCATGATGCTCTTGGTACTTCCAAATCTGGTGCCAGGTGCTGTGCTGGCAACGGGGCCCTCAGCTGGGTCCCTCCAAAGCTGTGCTGGGGTGTCCCTGGGTGTCACTGAGCCTCTTTTCCACCAGAAGGCAGCTGAACTGCAGGTCCTGCCCAGGTGGGGAGGGTGCCAGAGGGAGGGATGGCTGGTTCCTTTCACAGGAACCCAGCCCCACTGTCCCTGCACCACCAGCACCACACATGGGGACTTGCAGCCCACCCTGGGCATAGGCTCTTCTGATGACTTTTATCAACTTCTCACACTGCTGGGCTTTTTCTCAGATTCCAGATATTACTGTACGGGCAGCTGCACACCACAGCTTTGCCGAGGGAGATAACCCTTATCTCCTGCCTGGTGCGCTGGCTCGGGCAGGGGGGAGCTGACGTGCCTGTGTTTGGTTTTCCAGGAAGCAGGAGCTGCTGAACAGCACGGATGTGACCGTCCCGGAGCGGCCCCTGTCACCGCCTCTGACAGCCCCACCGACCATGAAGGTGAGAGCGCTGGGCCAGGGCTTGGAGAGCCAGCCTGGTGGGGAGCAGCACTTCCAACGCAGCGGCTGCACGGGCTAGGGCTGTTCCCACAGGAGCAGCAGTAGGTGGTTTCTGGAATTCAGCCTGTTCCGACGCCATCCCTCTCTCCATCCGTGGTGGCGGGCCGTGCGTGCCGACACTCCCGTTACGCAACGGCGAGCGGCGGTGCCGAGCGGGGCGCTGGGTCCTGGTGCTGCTTCTCTGCCAGTGAGCCTGCCAGCGACCCTGCCAGTGACCCTCCCAATGACCCTGCCAGTGAGCCTGCCAGTGACCCTCCCAGCGACCCTGCCAGTGACCCTGCCAGTGAGCCTGCCACTGACCCTCCCAGTGACCCTGCCAGTGACCCTGCCAGTGACCCTCCCAGTGACCCTCCCAGTGACCCTGCCAGCGACCCTGCCAGTGACCCTCCCAGTGTGACCCTCCCAGTGTGACCCTCCCAGCGCAGCCATGGGTGGCTCGGTGCCAGCACGAGGCAGGCGCAGCGTGCCCGCCATGGGGCCGGGCAACTTGAGGTGTGTGCCCCAGCAGGCACCTGCCTGTCCCCTGCAAACCCCTCTGCTTCCTGCCCAACCTGTTCTGGGCACTCTGCCGCCCAGGGAGCTGCCCTTTGAAGTAACAAGGCAGCTGTCCTTACCAAAGGGAGGTGGGGCTGGACAGGGTGGCTGGGCTGGTGCTCTTGCCCATGAGGAGGTCTGGCTGTGTGGCTGGTGGAGGTGGGAGTGATGCCAGGAAGATAATAGCTTTCTTCCAGGGCTGAGACATGTTGGGGAGAGTGCTGGGGAGGGGTGCACAGCTCTGCTTGTTGCTCTCTATTCGTGGCAGCTCCCGCCTGGTGCAGGGTTTTCTTTCTGTCCTTTCCTTTGTGGCTCTAAGTGGGCACAGCTCTCTGAAGGGCTGCGTGCTTTGCTCAGTATGTGTGCCATTTTCTGTCAGACTCACTGTAGCACCTGGGTCTGGTGCCACCATGGGGTCAAGTCTTGGCTCTGGCTACTGGTAGAGCAGGACCTGAAATTACCCAAGAACATTTGTACCTGGAGATAGACAGAATCCAAACCAAGCTCAGCTAAGGAAGACTTTTTAAAGAGTATTCAGCTGTGGGCACAGAGCTGTCTGAGCCTGGGGTTTTTCTTTTTGACTCCCGCAGGTGTGTTAGGTAAGGAGGGGCATGGTCTAAAGTTGCAAACAGCTTTAGCCAGGGTTGTGTTGGAGTCACACCTGCCCCACCTGTGCTGGCAGCCACAGGCTGCTCGTGCTGTAAATCCGACCTTTGATCACCACAAATATTAAAGGAAGAAATTTCTCTCAGACTTTCATTTTCTTTTGATTTTCATTTCTTCATTCCCTCCTCTGTTTTTTCCTTCTTTTCTTTTCAGTCAGCAGAATTCTTCGAAATGCTGGAAAAAATGCAGGTGAGCAGCACTGTGCATGCCAGTAACTTGGGATGTTTGCCCCAGCAGAGCCCCTGAGGGCAGAGGGCCTGTCCCAGGAGCAGACCTCACCTTCCAGCCACTTGGCTTGGAGTGATCTCCATGTAGCAAAATACCCTCATGTTGGTGCACCAACCTCCCTGTGTTGGTAAAAGCATCTAAATTGTTTGTTGCATTCATTTTCTTCCAAACAGGCACCAAAACTGGAAGAGCAGAAGTCTGGAAGCCAAAAACACAAGGTTGGTTGATTTTTGTTTCTTGAGGGGATCTCTTCAAGTGCCCCCCACCCCCCCCATCTCAGAGGTTTAATGTGATCATCAAAGTCACTCAAAGGGCTGGGAAGGATTTAGATGTTATCTGAAAACAAGGCACTGATTGAATTGCAGAGAAGGGAGCATGGTGCCTGTAAATCCCTAATCCAGCTTTATGTCCAGACCACTGCATTTCATCTTCCAGCTGTGCAAAAGGGTTGGGGTTTGCAGGGAACACTGCACTGGGAAGTTGCTCCCGTAGAGGAACTTCCTTTAGGCAGGACTTAGCCTTCATTGATGCCTTCCTGCGAGGGATCAGCAGGTGCTGGAGGCACTCCCTAGGTTGGGTGGCAGGGCTGGGGTTTTAAGGGACAGCTGGTGGGGAGCAGATGGTCATAGATGATGTTTTGGTTCCTTTTTCCAGGAAGACTACATCCCATACCCCAGCATCGATGAGGTGGGTGTCCTGAACACCTTCTGGTGAATACCTTTCCAAAATTGCTGATGGCAGAGAAATTGGTGGAGATTCTGTTTCTGAGAGGATCTACATAAAGCATGTTCCCCCCTCCCTATCTCTGTGGTTTTTGGCTTTTCCTCAGTAGCATGTGCCCTCTTCTGTGACAGAAGAGGTTTCAGAGAGGGGTGGACTTGTCCCTTCTGGTGCCAGGGCTGGGGTCTGCTGCAGTAGGGGGCAAAACTTGGAGCAATGAGCTCTGCACCCCACATCCACACCCCTGTCCTGCCTGACCCCTCGTGACACATGTCTCTGCAGATCCTGGAGAAGGGTAGCCCATACCCACTGATCATCCTGCCCCAGTTTGGGGGATACTGGATAGAAGACCCAGAAAACCTTGGCACGCCCACCTCATCTGACAGCAGCATCTGCGAGGAGGAGGAGGAAAACCTCAGCCCCAGCACCTATGGCTACAAGCTGGAGTGCAAGGGAGAGGCCAGAGCCTACCGCAAGCATTTCCTGGGGAAGGTGGGTTCCTCCACCCCACGGGGCTCAAGGTTGCACACCTTTGACTAAGAAAACTCTCCAGCTGAGAGCAAAATGGGCAAGTGTTACAATTTCCCTCTTTGCAGGGAATGGTGGGTTCCCAGCACGGCGGTGACGGCCACACACGTGTCCTTTGCCCCTGGCCCCACAGCCACAGGTCTCCTGTGACACCAGTGGGGATGTTGGCTCTGAGCCTCCTGACCCTGGGGACCTCAGCCAGACAGGGGGGCCTGTGTGGCAGCCCCTGCCCTCTTGCTCACAGCCCTGGTCCTGGCAAGGGGGTGCAAGTGTCTGAGTGATGGGAGGGTGTTGGGGCAGCAGGTGAGCGTCCAGGCAGTGTCCTTGCCATCGCTGAGTTGCTTCCCGGCTGCTAATGTGCTGATTTCTATTTTTAGGATCATTTAAATTTCTACTGTACAGCCAGCAGCCTTGGAAATCTGATCCTTTCTGTTAAATGCGAGGAGACAGATGGCACAGAGTATTTAAGGGTTATACTCAGGTATGGAAAAAAAAAAGCTTTGTTTAACAAAATATTCTCTCTTTGGGAGTCCCTGGTTCTGTTCCTGCAGCAAGTGCTTGAGCTGGACTGGCAGCATGTGGTGGGGGTCTGGGTGGGATGGGAGGCAGTGGCAGCATCCCTGTGTTTCTGTGCTGGGACTGACTAAATCTGATAATGAACATGAGACTTTGATCTGTTGCTAAACCCTCTGGAACTGAATGTAAACCTCTGTGGGATTAATCCTCCCTGGGATAACACCAGTCACTTCTCTCACCATCCCTCCATAAGCTGACAGGACCCAGCATGTCTGAGCCATTGTGTCATTTCCCTCGAACTATGAATATTTTAAGAGATGAGAAGACAAACTGAGCCTTTGCTCACTAACCAGGCCCAACAAATGCAGCACAACTGTGTTTCCCAACAGTTGGGTGTTGCTTTGCTGTAGACACTCTCTGACATCTGTCTGCTTGTTGTTTCTTTGCTAGGTCCAAAGTCAAGACATTGCATGAGAGGATTCCATTGGCAGGATTCAGCAAACTCCCGAGTATCCCCCAGATTGCAAAGGTGAATTGCCTGGCTTGGCTGTGCCAGTGCACATCAGGCTGAGCTGGGACGTGTTGGGCAGCACTGGACAGTGTTGGGCAGCACTGCCTGTGCTCTCAGGTCAAGGGGCACTCAGGTGGTGCTGGCCCTGCTGTTGTTTTCCTGCTGATCCCAGGCTAGGAGAGAAAATGGCCCTCATTTGGGGCATGGGACCTGGGACTGGGCTCGCTGCATCCTCGGTTGGGGCCAGCCAGGCCATGGGGCATCCCAGTGAGAGGGTGTGAAGGAGGGAGCTCCTGCTATTGGAGGCTGTATTTGGCTTCTTTATAAGACATTCATGGCTGAAGTTGTGGCCAAGGACCTGGCACTGACTGCTCTTTCCCCTTGCCCACAGGCCTTCTGTGATGACGCCTCTGGGCTGAAGTTTAACCCGGTTCTCTACCCTAAGGTGAGGTAACTTGCCCAGGTTGGTAATGTATTCTGCAAGGACACTGAGAACCACATCCAGGACCACTGTTGAAAACTTTTAGCCTAATTATGTGGAAATTTGGCTTCTTTGCCCCTTCCACTCCCCTGATGCTGCCCAGCCAGTGTGGTACCCTGCTGCAGCTCTGGTGGGATCTCCTCATCCCTCACCATGGATCTTTTGGCCATCACATTTTGAACCATCAGATGAAACAACTGGCATTTTGCTTTCCTGCAGGCATCCCAGATGATAGTGTCTTATGATGAGCATGAGGTCAACAACACATTCAAGTTTGGTGTGATTTACCAGAAGTTCAGGCAGGTGAGTTGTCCCCATGCCACTTTCATGGAGCATGTCCCTGTGCACCAGAGATCCACGTTTCAAGAGTACAGGCTCAACTCTGACCTTAATTCTGCCATCTGCAGCACCTCATGTCACTGGATGTCCTCACTGACTGTGTTTCTTGTTGCTTGGATGTTTTCCCCACTCATTAAAAATTATATGACTGAAAAGTCTCAGTATGGAAATCAGCCCACAAGCTGCTGTAGAGAAAAGCGGATGTGAAAACGGATTTTAGCAGGCGTGGTATTTTAATCAGATATATGTTTAGACAGTTTGTCTGGGGGGACTGCGGGCTCTGAAGAGAGGCGCTTGCTGAAAATGCTGTCATTAGCAGGGGGACTCTGGATGAGGAGTCAGAACTCACTGAGAATTACTCTGACAGACACTTTACATATTGCATTTTGGGTTGGATGGAGTGACTCATGCAAGGCCGTAATTAGGGTCTCATTGTTTTGAAATACAGCAAGCAGGAGATGATTAGGGATTTTTCAATAGAGGATTCGCTTCTGGTTTGGTATTTCCTGGGTATTATCCTCAAGTCGTTGCTGGGGCTCAGAAGAGGCTCTCAGCAGCTTTGTCCTAGGCTGTCCTGTGGCAGCCCATGGATGGTGCTGGTGGTGAATGTGGCAGCTGGGGAGCAGCGGGGAGCAGCCTGTGGCTGTGCAGGACACCGTGGAACAGGGTGCTGGTCAGACCCCAGGCACCCCGTGGATGGAGCTGGATGTGGCAGGGGATTGGGCAGGCAGGGATATTTGAGCTGTCAACAGATGCACCCTGTGTTTTGTAGACCCAAGAGGAGGAGCTGTTTGGCAATAATGAAGAGAGCACTGCCTTCAAGAACTTCTTAAGTTTTCTGGGAGACACCATAACTCTTCAGGATTTCAAAGGGTAAGTTAAATAAAAAGGATGATTTTACAAATACATTAACAAGAGACCATGTCATATGTAAAAATATCTACGTGTGAGAACAGAAGTCATCTCGCTCATGAGCGGGATGTGCGGAGCAGAAGCAAATATAGTTTTGGCTTGTTTTTCAAAGCTGGGGGAGTTAAAAAAAAATGGGAGCTGCCAAGAGAGAAAAATTTCTTTTCCTGCAGCTTTGAGGTTGTGATAAAATGTGGCTATATTCAGTCATGGAGGGAAGGCAGTCTGTGGAAATGTGCTGTGCCTGGTGTCGTGGCTCAGCCACGGGTGCCTCCGGGGCCGTCCCTGCAGCGACCACAGTGCGGGCAGAGACCCCACTGCTGGTGAGGGATGGTGAGGCTGCAGCTCGTGCCCATGGCTGTGGTCAGCCCTGCCTGACCAGCCCTGCTTTATGTGCACCCTGTATTTCAGGCTGGTGACAGTGATGGCTGGTTACAACACATGACGCATGGTTTGTTCTTTCCCACTTGCTCCCTGCTAGATAAAGATAAATGAGCTGGGCTGTTCCATCAGCCTGTCCCCTGACAGCCGCTGGTGCTCTCTGTGAAGCTCTCAATTAACATCTCTTCGTTTCTCTCTGCCTTTCCCTTGATCTCCAGTTTTCGAGGAGGCCTGGATGTCAGCCATGGGCAGACGGGAGTGGAGTCTGTGTACACGGTGTTCAGGGACAGGGAGATAATGTTTCATGTCTCTACAAAGCTGCCTTTTACCGAAGGAGACACACAACAAGTAAGAGAGATGTGTTTGTTTGCACAGAAGGGTCAGAGTGGGGATGCGCTGACACTGCCCAATGCTGTGGGCACTGCCAGGCCCTGGCACCGTGGGAAGCGGCTGCTGGGCTCCCCAGAGTGGAGCTGGCACTTGCTCCTGCAGGAGCAGAGCTGCCGGGTTTTACTGACCCAGTGTTCTCCCTTTCGGTTTAGCTCCAGAGGAAGAGGCACATTGGCAATGACATTGTGGCAATTATCTTCCAAGAGGAGAACACGCCATTCGTCCCAGACATGATTGCCTCCAACTTCCTGCACGCCTACATTGTGGTGCAGGTGGAGAGCCCCGAGGCGGAAAACACGGCCTACAAGGTGAGGGCAGTCCCGGTGTGCCCCTACCCAGGTTCGCTTCAGCATCTTTTGACAAGGGCACGGAGTGACAGCACGAGGGGAAGTGGCTTCCCACTTGCAAAGGCAGGGTTAGATTAGAGATGAGGAGGAAATTCTTCCCTGTGAGGGTGGTGAGGCCCTGGCACAGGTTGCCCAGGGCACTTACCCTGTGCTCAGTGATGCAGTCAGTGTAAGGCCTGGTGGGGACTTGCTGAGCACACATATGTGTGTGCACACAGGTGTGTTATGTATGCACTGTTACATAATGTGTGTGTACACAGACATCAGTTCATAAAATACATGTTTGTAAAACAGCTCATTTGTTAAAGAGTTTTGATGATCCTCAGCATTTGAATGTGCCTTGGAACAGTCTGACATATCACCTGGGTGTAGGTGGCATAAACCCATGGGAGTAACATGTCTCTTGACTCCTTAGGTGTCAGTGACAGCCCGGGAAGATGTTCCCTCCTTTGGCCCACCCCTGCCGAGCCCTCCGGTGTTCCAGAAGGTAGGGGCTGAGAGGAAAGCATATTCCAGGCTGTAAAAAAAGTAGATGTGCATGTCCAAGATGTTTCCAAGCACACTGGCTTGGGGAAAACAGAACTGCATTAATTTTGGTTTCCATTGAGGCCCCTAGTGTTTATGAGTGGCCATGAGGGTGAGTGGCCATGCACCACTGCATGGCATTACTTGAGCAAGGTGGCAGCAGCAGCTCTGAGGTGCTGTGTTGGTGCAGTGAGCACCTCAAACCCGTCTGGGGTTTTCCACCAATGCTTCCACATCTGGAGGGACTGCCAGGTGCTGTGAGCTTGGGTTTTGGGTTGTACAGCTGGGGTACCAGAGATACAGAATCCTAAAATGGTGGGTGTTTTCTACCTTGGTTGTCTCCCTGCAGAGCCCCGAGTTCCGGGAATTCCTGCTGACCAAGCTCATCAACGCTGAGAACGCCTGCTGCAAGTCTGACAAGTTTGCGAAGCTGGAGGTAATTCTGCCCAGGTGTCCCTGCCTGAGCCGGCCCTGGGGAGCTGTGCCACCCCTCCTCACAGCCGCCCATCCCTGCTGAGCTGGGTCAGTGCTCGCAGGACGACAGCGTGGTGACGGAGGGGCGGGCGCTGCGCAGGGAGCACAGCTGCTGCCATGGGTCACTGCCGTGGGTCACTGCCGTGGGTTGGCGCTGTGGGTCGGTGCTGTGGGTCAGTGCCATGGGTCACTGCCGTGGGTCGGTGCCGTGGGTCACTGCCATGGGTCACTGCCATGGGTCGGTGCCGTGGGTCGGTGCCGTGGGTCGGTGCTGTGGGTCGGTGCCGTGGGTCACTGCCATGGGTCACTGCCGTGGGTCAGCGCCGTGGGTCAGTGCCATGGGTCACTGCCGTGGGTCGGTGCCGTGGGTCGGTGCTGTGGGTCAGTGACATGGGTCACTGCCGTGGGTCGGTGCTGTGGGTCACTGCCATGGGTCACTGCCGTGGGTCGGTGCTGTGGGTCGGTGCCGTGGGTCGGTGCCGTGGGTCACTGCCATGGGTCACTGCCGTGGGTTGGTGCCGTGGGTCGGTGCCGTGGGTCGGTGCCGTGGGTCGGTGCTGTGGGTCGGCGCCGCTGCTCTTCCCCGGAGCCGTGGCCGAGCCTCCGTCTCTGCCGCAGGACCGGACTCGGGCCGCCTTGCTGGACAACCTGCACGACGAGCTGCACGGGCACACGCAGACCATGCTGGGGCTGGGGCCTGAGGAGGACAAGCTGGAGAATGGGGGCCATGGAGGCTTTCTGGAGTCTTTCAAGGTAAAGCCCTGCCCTTGCCAACAGCAGAGCTAAACCCCAGAGCACCTGGGCTTGGCAGAGTGCACGTCAGGGGACAAGAGATGTCCCCCAAGCGTAGGGTGGCAAGAGGAGGTGGGGGCTGCTGCCACCACTGCCTGCTCAGCCTGCCAAATGCCTGAGCTGGTCCCAGTGGAAGCAAGCAAAAGCTGGCATGGTTGCATTGCTGGTGAGTGTCCCCACTGGAGTGACTTCTCCAAAGCTCCTGAGCACCTCTACCAGTGTGCTGCAGCATTTTTTGTCCCCAGAGGGGTCTCAGTTCAGGCCCAGTGCCCTGCCACAGAGTGTGCCTGCAGCTGGGCTCTGCTGTGGCAGGACATGTCCTGCTCATGTTCTGGCTGCTGGCTGCCTCTGCTGTGGGACAGGGATCAGGAGGGGCGCCTGGGGCAGCTGCCACAGCAAGCGGGTGGGGGTGGTTAGTGGTCGTTGTGCTTAAAACAAAGACAGAATGGTGCTGGGTGTGGAGTGGGGAAGTGGTGCTGAGTGTGCCAGGGAGACCAGGTGAGTAGGAGGGAAAGCAGGTAATGTTGCCTGGAGGAAAAGGAATGGGTAAAGTGCTGTGGAGGAAGCTGAGGAGCCACTGGCAGCAGGGACAGTGACTGGCTGGGCAGCAGGGACACCCCTTGAGATGGAGGAGCAGCACCTGAGCCTGAGGGTAGGAGCCATTGCCAGGTGTGTGTGCTGCAGCTGTCCTGTAGCACGGAGGGGGCTGGCACTGGGTGACACCGGTGGTCTGGTCAGGGGCTAACCTGGCTGGGACAGCTCCTGCCGTTACCTCAGGCATGGATATTTCTATAGCACAGAGAATGAGACTGGTGAATGAGCCACCTCATCCTGTAGCTGGAGGATGGGGCTGGGGAGGAGGGGCGGCCAGCTCCCCAGACCCCGCTGCAGAGGCTCAGGTGTGTCCTGCTCCAGTGTGGGAGTGTAGGATGGCACTGCTGTGCAGCCAGTCGTGCGTTGCAGCACTCACCTCCAGGCCTCCACGCTGAGGTGAAGCAGATATGTTCTGGCATTTGTGTGAGTGGGGACACAGCTCATGCTCTCTTGGCATTGCAGGGAGTGCTGGGGTGGGAGGTGAGCCCCGTGGTCCGTGCTGGGCGCCTCGGGCCCGTGCTGCTGGGCTGCCTGCTGGCTTACGTGCTGCGCCACGCACTCTCGGAGTGACGGGGGAGGACACACGGTAAAGGAGGGCTGCAGGGGCTCGGACCTGGTCCCCATCGTGTCTTTTTGCCGTCTGCCTTGTGCCTACAATGCAGCCTACACACCCATCCCCTTGGCCAGGCCATGGGGGATCAGTTCTCAGAGGTGAGCAGAACCCAGTTCTGCTCTGAGTGAGAGGTGCCTCTGCCTTTTCTGTGGGGAAAGGAGCCACTCCTCAGGGCTGGGGTGTTGGGGAACCCCACAGAGCTCCACATCCCTGGACAGGAGCCTGCAGAGTGTGAGTGCCTGTGGCTGCTGCTTTGCAGCAAAGCAAATGATCACTTTCACCTAACAACAACATCAAATTGTATATGAATGCTGCTGACCCAAATAAATTCAGTCTGATGGACTCTTGCTTGATGTTCATTATTGGATGGGCAGGGGCTGTTGGGGCTGTGGTCTTCAGCACTGCAGGCTCAGTGAGAGCTCAGGGCTGCAGCTTCCTCTTACCCTGGTACAGGTCCACCTGTGGTTCCATGACCCCGGAGCCAGCAGCAAACAGCCTGCATGCACCCTCAGGAGTTTGGCCTGCCATGGCTCATTTACTCTTTAGCCTGGGCTGGCATTCAGGGGCTGGAGGAGCCATGGCTGAGGGAATAACTGAGATGAGAATGGAGAAGGTTGCTGATGTGAAGAGTGAGAGAAGGGGGCTGCTTGCCATGGAGAAATGAAGATCAGCGGGATCAGGGAGAGCCTGTGGCTGCCATGGGTCAGTGCTGCACAGCTCACCTTCAGTCCCTTCCAGAGGTGGATAGACCAAACCAGAAGCCGCAGCAGTAGTTCAGGCTAAATGTATTCTCAAGCAGTAGATTGCTGAAGAACAGAAGCACTTTTATGTGGCTATGAAGCCTCCAGCACAGAGGATGTTTTGGGAGAGGCTGGAGAGGTGCAGGAGAGGTGCAAGAAAGGCAGGAGATCTGTCCTCTGAGTCTAGGCAGAATTGTGGAGACTGCACACAAACACAGCTTATGGCTTGGCTGTGGTTCCCATTCCTGCCGAGGACTCTGGGAGGTTGGTCAGGCAGGAGGCAGGGCTTGGGGCTTGTGTCTGCATCTCCTGGTCCCAGAGATGGAGTCTTTGATTTCACAGAGCAGTGGGGGCAGAATCTGATCCTGTGGTGGCTGTGGGGCTCCCCAGGGGCAGCCCATGCTCAGCTGCACTTGCCAGGGCTGCTGTCACCCCTCGTGCTGCTGTTGGGGTGTGCTTGCTCTCAGGGAGGCATGAACTCTCCCTCGTGCCTGGGGTAAACCCGAGGCTGGGGAGGAGTTCTGGGGACAGCACCCCTGTGGGTGGCGATGACCTGCTGTCCCTCTCCCCCCTGCCACAGAGAGCCATCCGGGTGCGCAGCCACTCCATGGAGACGATGGTGGGCAGCCAGAAGAAGCACCATGGCAGTGGCATCCCAGGCAGCCTCAGTGGGGGCATTGCACACAACAGCGGTGAGGTGACAAAGACCACCTTCTCGGTGAGCATGTCCACATGTCTCTCTGTCCCTCCATCCCTCCATCCCTCCGTCCTTCCTCTTCCCACCCCTCTACAGCCCGACAGGTCACTGCATTCCACTGATGCAGCTTGGCAGTCCCCTGCATGGGCAGTGAGGGTCAGGGTGAGGGAGAGACTTGAGCAGGCTGTGAATTTGGATGCCTTGTTCAAGTTGGGCTCATTTTGTGGAAGAACCAAAGATAAGCTTCCTGGGGTTTTGGCCCCAAAGTAAAAGGAGATAGAAAAGAAGTTCTAGCATTATGTTTTTTCAGATGTGCAGGCAGCGCAGTTCCTCGCAGGTTGTTTAGTGTCTGAAGCCCTAGGAGAGAGCTCTGCTCTAACTCAGATTGTTTGCTGCTTTCAGCCCCCTGTCCCAGCTGTTGCTGCCAAGAACCAGTCCAGGAGCCCCATCAAGCGCCGGTCAGGGCTGTTCCCTCGCCTGCACACGACATCGGAGAGCCAGGCAGAGAGCAGGACGAGGTGGTAAGTTTGGGTGGTACCGATAGAGCACCGGCCACTCTCACAGTTTATTGTTGGTGTTAGGTAGGACAATTTGACCACCCTTTTTAAGTCTCTTGTATAATTTGTGCAACCTGTCTCTTTGTGTCCTCAGTGACAGTGTTTCTGGAACCCAGAAGACACCAGATCTGGGACATTCTTCCCAGGAGATGAAATCTGAAACCTCATCCAACCCCAGCTCCCCTGAAATATGCCCCAACAAAGACAGGTGAGCCAGGATGAGCCTATCCTCCTTCCACCACAGCTCAGCAGACATCAAGGAATTTGTCAAACAAAACCATATCTAAATTTTACTGTAAATAAGTTTGATATTAAGGGAGAAAAGATTCTGGTGATTCTTGAGCACAGCTCCTTTTTGGTCTTTACAAAGAAGAGCAAAGCGCAGCGTTTGACCGAGGTTCCCGAATCCCCAGGACGTAGAAGGCTGCTGTGCCTGTTCCTCCCTGCCAAGGCGAAGTCAGCTCGACCTAGGGTTTCCTGCTGGGCACCCACCCAGTGCCCGCTCCCCCGCCTCTGGAAGTGGTTATGTGCTGAAGCACCCCAAGAGGTTCATTCCTACGGCAGCACTTTGCTCCGGGGGTGTGCAGGAGGGCCTGTCCCCCGTCACAGTCCAAGGGACACGCTTCCCTGTGACAGCCACGCGCCCTTCCTTCCGTTCCGCCTCTCTAGGCCTTTTATCAAGCTGAAAGAGAACGGGCGGTCGAACATCTCCCGTTCCTCCTCCAGCACCAGCAGCTTCAGCAGCACGGCGGGGGAGAGCGAGACCCTGGAGGACTATGACAGCGTGGTAGGTACAAAACCCCGCTCACATTCCCCTCTCCCCTTCCCTGCTGCCTCCAGACTCTGGGGTCTGACAGGGAGAAGTGCCTGCCAGCCCCCAGGTGCCTTCTCACTGCTGATGTGGAGAGGCTTAACCCATCTCTGGGTGGGGAGGAGGAGGGTTGGTGTGCCTGGTGGGACACTGGGCTGTTGTGGCTGCCCCATCCCCAGAGGTGTCTAAGGCTGGGAGCAACCTGGTCCAGTGGAAGGTGTTGCTGCCCATGGCAGGGAGGGTCTGGTTAGATGGTCTTTCAGGTCCCTTCCAAACCAAGAACCCAAACCATTCAGTGATTCTGTGGCAACCCAGTGAGCTTTGGAATGCCCTGAGCACTGCTCGCTCTGCCCAGGCCAGCAGCTGCAGTGGGCACGGGTGCAGTGGGGTATTGGCAGGGTGTGGGGGAAGAGCTGAGTGCAGGAAAAGCCATGTCCTGTCTCTGTGAGCAGGGAAGCCAGCCCTCCACGGCGTCACCCTTCAAGCAGGACGTGTTTGTCTACAGCGCTTCGCCCGGCAGTGAGAGCCCCGGCGTGGGGGCCATGGCCACCCCTGTCATCATGAGCAGGAGCCCCACAGGTGGGTGACAGGCAGACTGGCAGGAGGCACCAGCTCTGCCTTTCACCTCTGGAGCTCCCCACAGCCAAAGCCCCTGGGTTCCTGTGGTGGTGGGTTGGAATGGGGTCGGTGGCTCTGGGATGGAGGAGCCCCATCCCAGCCTTGTCGGGGCACCCACAGGGTGTGGGGCAGCCCTATCCTAACAGAGTTGTTGTGGAGAGGTGGCCCCATGTGCTGTAGTTCTGTACTTGCATGGGGAATTTGTTTCCTTTCTCAATTAGAATGCAGAGGTGGCTCTCGCTGTGGCTTTGTTCCCTCTGTCTCCCCTGACAGGCATGTGCAGTAGTCGTGGAAACTCTGTCTCCAGAGGCTGAGCCATGACTCACAGTTACTTCATCAACAATCATCTTCCCATGGTCCTGGTTCCATTCCTCTCCTGCCAGCCGCTCACCACCTCCATCCCTTTCAGTGGGAGGATTTGCACAATGAGGTGCAGCTCAAGAGGGCCAGGGGCAGGAGGAGCTCTGGCCCATCCTGTGCAGACGGTGCAGTGAGACAGGGGACGGCCACAGTCACCCCTCGCCCACAAATCCCCATGGCTCTGGGTCCTTGTGCCTCAGGGAGCCTGCCACAGGCACCAGCATCCACGTGGAGACACACAGCCAGCTGAGGAGCTGCTTTTGAAACAGCTGGGAAGCACAAGTAGACCCAAACAACTCTGTAACTGGGAGTGTTGCAGGCAAGAGGGGACCATGGAGTGCAAGCAGACTTTTTATGCCTCGGCACCCCACAGGTCCTCCTCCTTACTTCATTAGTGATTTTCAGAACCCTTAAACCAGCCCCTTTTAATGCTTGAAGTGTTTATTTTGTATTTTTCCTGCCAAGAACATGAAAATCCACCCATACATTATATGGATCAGTCATTCCTTGTAGCCTTTTCAGTGGCATTTTCAGGAGAAAGACTGTGAAATGTAATTAAGCCTCAATTTATTCCATCGCAAACACTTAATATACAGCTTTTGCCAAACATTCAACCAAGGCAGACTAAATATTGGTAGCACTCCTGACAGCCTATTAAAGTGCCTAGCTGGGCGAGTGCAGCCAGTACTACAGCAAATATTTTTGTTCACAGTTTATTATTTTTGTTCTTTGTTTGTCCTCTCCCTCCAGCAGATCTAAAGAACAGAAATTCTCCGAGGTCCAACCTGAAGTTTCGCTTTGACAAGCTCAGCCATGGCAGCTCCAGCATGGTAGGTGCCAGGGCTCTCACTGGTGGGATGCTGTGCAGCCGTGTCCTCCCTGCCTGGCATGGGATGGCTCTGGGGGCTGCTCTGGGGCCCATGAGGAGAAAAGGGAAGTGATTTTGTGACTTCTTGCCCCTTTGTTTGCAACCCACCCCATGTTCTGTTCTTTCACATAGAGCCACTAGCAGGAGGAAGTCATGACCTTGTCACAGGTGAGTGTTGGTATGTTTTGTTTAGTGCAAAAAGGCTGTTTGGGGCTGCTCGCTCTGCTTGGTATTGCTTATGGAATCCACACTGTACCTTAGAACACCTCAAATGCTGCTGTAGCTGAGTGAGGGAAAGCGCAGGGCTTTGTGACAGATCTGCACCCAGCAGTGCTGCTGTTCCCTTCTGGAGCACCATGCTCCTGCACCTGCTCCCAGGGTCAGGTGCCCCAGCCCAGCAGGTTGCATTTTTCCCAGTTAACCTTTGTCAAACACTGGTGCCCATCTCCAGGTTTGTTGTGCTGTGCTCTGGGCACTGGGGTGGAAAGGCAGTGCAGGTCCGTACCCATTCCAAAAATCCAAGGGGAAACCAAAGATACTCGAGATGGATTTCATGGGCAGAGGTAAAGGGAGCTCAGTGGGATTTTACCCGGGGTCCTTCTGTTCCACAAAATCAAGGGTGTCATTAGGAAGATCCAAACTGAGCAAAAGAGCCCATAGAACTTGAAATGAAAGGAAGTTACATTTCTGAAAGCATGGGTCTCAAAAAGCTTGGATTTTCACCCAGTCATTGGGTTTCCTTCTCCCACAACCTAGGAATGATGGTGGTCTGGCGTTTTGGGAAAGGGCGCTGCCGTGGCTTCAGCTCTCTCCCTGGGACAGGTGCTTCGCAGCCAGCACCTCAGGGGTGGGACTATTCTCCTTCCACACTCCTGACTTTTATCTTTTTCTTCTTTGCACAGGATGTTTCAACAAAGGGAAAAATCTTCAACACCCCATGGGACCACGCACGCCCTGGCCATGGGCAGCGAGGTGCCCTCACCCGCTACACCAGAAAAGAGCTCTCACCTTGCTGCAGTTCTGTCCTGACAGGGACCAGCCACCTTCTCACCGTGTCCCCCTGTCCAGCACCGCCCTGCGCCCCCGCTCTGCGAGCAGGAGGGGCCGTGTCCCTGTCTATGCTGCACACTGGTGGCCAGGGCCAGGTCCCCTCCTGGTGCTCTGCTGGTGTCAGGATCTGCTCGTTCACAGCTGGGTCACCCTGGGGTTGCCCACGTGTGCTGCAGCTGCTGGGCACCATCCATTCCCCCCGTCCGTGGGCTGCCTGGCAGCTCCTTTTGGCCAGAGGGCCAGCAGGGAGAGACCTCCATGTAGTTTAGGTCCCTCCATGCTTTATTTGCAGTTATCAGTGGAGAAACAGGGATTTATATTTGCTTTTTGAAGGCTGGGGGTCAGGCCAAAGTTAGGTGTTAGTGGCTCTGGGGCAGTTCACCCTCCACCATCATTTGCTGTTGCTCTTCTCTGGGGACAATGGGGCAAAACCTCCCTGGGGGTGTCCTGGGCAGCTCTCCCTGGAGTGGGATCTGCAGTGTCTCTCCAGCCGTCCCCCAGCTCCTACTTACACCCCAAAACTCTTGGGGCAGAGGCAGCCCTCGCTCCAAATTTGCTCAATTTCTTGCACAAGAGGTAGGTAAGTGACTTGGCCCAGGGAGTGGAGCTGGAGGCAGCAGCTCATCCTCCTTGGCAGGTTCATTCTCCCTGCTTTGTCCCTGCCTGAGCACAGGCCTGGGAAAGGTGACCCAAAGCTAAAGCTGTGCTGTATTACATTTCCTAAGTACTAGAACAGGAACCAGAGGGGATTTACCTGGTGGGCTCTGCTTTGCCCTATGGCTTGGATCGCCAGGCAAGCAAATGCATAAAACTCTGGTGATTTGTGAGGCATTAGGCTGCTCCAACCCTTACAGAGTTTGTTCTGCTGCTTTTGAGCAAGCTCTTGTTATTCTGAGAGGATTATAGATTCTGCAAGGTAACTCTCCCATAAAGCCCTTTCCCAGAAAATACCTCTCTCAACATGCCAAGAAATCATTTTGCTCTTTCATGTGAAGTTTCCCAAAGCTGGTCTGTAAAATTTCACATTGCTCATAGATTTCCCTTACCCATTTTGTGGAAGACAGGCTGTGATGCTGCAGATATATTCCCCCCTGTCCCCCCAGCCTGTGACCTTTGGACACCCTCATGGAATCAGGTTCTCAGTCTCAAGTGAACACAGTTCTTCAAATATGTGATTCCTACTGAAAAGAGGACTTTGAGTGCCAAAGTCTCCTTCCCCCAGTGAGTGCTCCAAGAGGCTCAAGGTACCTGACAGCTGTTTCAGGAGTGGGGGCAGAATTGTGCTCCTGGAGCAGCCCTGGGCAGCCGCCGTGGCTGGGGCTGCTCCTGCTCCCCTCTCTCTGGGCCAAGAGCTTATAGGATCCAACCACACCTGCCCTCCTCCCTGTCATCTCCCCGGGCCAGAGAGGAGGCAAGGCAGGCAGAACGCGCTCTGCTCGCCCTAGTCCTGCAGGGAGGTGCTCTCCTTACGATCCGGTTCACGTAGGTGCTGGAATTAATCCATGTGGGAAGGCTGTAGCTATGATGGAAGGGGAGCCAGGTTAAAGAAGGAGAACAGTTGTGAAAAGGCAGGGAACAGTTTCACCAGCCCTAAGTGCTGTGTAGGACTAGTAAATATCAATAACTCCCATGGGGATGCTCCTTCTGCTCCCAGCCAGTTGCATTTCAATAGAGTTTAAGCCTTGAGTTTCTTTTGGAAGAGGAGCATGCAGTATGCTCAGCCCAGTCTGTAGCTCTAGGTGTCTCAGGATCACACACTTTGCTGTTCAGCACATGTCTGATGATGCTTCAGTAGCACTTTCAAACCCACCCCCAATTCTCCTCTTAGAAGCTTTGGTCTGATTTCCTGAGGCTGCACCGTGAAACACTGACTGGTGCAATGACTTTTTCCCAGGGTCTGCTCTGGGTTTGCTTTTTCCTCTGAGAAGTCACTCGGTTCTGTAGCTGTCGTCATTCCTGTGGGTGTTGATCTCCGTGAGATCTTTCAGCAGATGATGCAGTGGCTACTGTCAGCTGGTTTGCCATTTTTGGTTGTTTTGTTGCCTTTATTTTCTCTTGAAACCGTGTCTTTCCTTTGTGACCTAGATTGATTTGGGAATTATTCAAATGGGACTAACGGAACAGTGTGAAGCCTCAGGGAGAGTTGCAGTGCCCTGGACTTGTCTCTCCTGCCAGCCCTGGAGCAGCGGTGGGGCCGGGTGTGCCGGCGGCTCGGGCGGGACATTTCCAGCAGCACTCCTCCCAAAAGCCGAAAGCCGAAACCCGCTGTACATCTGGAGCAGCAGCTGGGCTTCGGCTCTCCGGCCCCAGCAGTGCCCGTGCCGGCCCCCGCCTCCACCCCGGGGCGTCCCGGGTTGTCCCGGGGCGCTTCTGGGGCTGAGCCGTGCTTGTGGCACGCCCCGGGGACTCCTGCACTTCCAGCAGTGCGTGGAGGTGTTCCTGTATATATTTTGCAAAATGTTTTGTGCTTATAAGTGACACTTACACATCTATACATATATAAAAGGGATATATATATATATATATATATATAAATATATATATATAGAGAGAGGAAAGGATCCTTAACTGACACTAGAATTACTGGGCAGTGCATTTTCCTTTCTGATTCCACTGTTTCCATGCACACAACTTCTGCCCTCCTCAGAAGTGCCATTGCAGAGGGAGCAGAGTGGGCTCAGAAACGCCTTAGGGGGTGATGCCCCCGCTGTGTGGAGGGGTCTCTGTTGCTGGGGGTGCTCCCCTCTGCTGGGCTTTGGGTCCCTGGCTGCTCCTGTGCAGCCCCTCGGCTCAGCTCAGGTGCTGCTGCACATCTGGTGCCAGCGCACATCTGGTGCCAGCGCACATCTGGTGCTGCTGGCTCCGGGAGAGGGCCGGGACCCTTTCCCCTCCATCGGGGGCTGCTGTGCAGCTGCCCCAGGCTGGCAGAGCAGCTGCTCTGGCTCGGCTTCCCTTCAGGAAAGCACTTGGCATGCACTTGCATCTTCTTGAAACCCCCCAGAGCCAAAGCACAACACGGAAATGCTTTTTTCTGAGGGAAGCAGGGGTCCTAAGCACAAACTCGGTTCCCTTCCGGAGTTTTGAGGGTCTTCAAGAAGAGCAGGTGAGGGGCCTGGAGATGTTCGTGCCACCAAGGGGCTGTGCCGGGGGCTGGGACCTTGTGTGGTGCTCGGTGCAGAGCCCAGCACCTCTGCAGTCCCACCTGCGCTCTCGCTGCTCCGCTGCTGCTCCATGCCCCAGCCCCAGCATGCTTCCATCACCTTCCGTGAATGTAGCACTGCGTAGGGCCTGCAAAGGGAAATGCTGGATTTATAGCAGAGAATGTGAGGAGAGTTTATAGAGTCAAAATAAAGCTTGAAGAAGTGTATCTGGCAAAGTTTATTTTTGATGTAGAGGCAGTGCTTTGTAGTTTCTAGTAACCTACGTCTGTTGTAAATAATGTATATTTAATTTATTGCTATGGTAGCAGATTGTTATGTATAAAACTAAAGGTTCACAAATGTATATTTTGTTGCTTAAATGTGTCTTTGCAAAATTCACAATAAATAACATATTTTGTGTCCATATACGTGCTCTGTGTGTGTGGTCACGTAGTGACAGCTTTACAGGAGCTTTTTGGGAACTTTTCTTTGAAAAGCAGATGAGGGCATGGAACTGGGCTGAGCCGTGGCAGTGGGAGCCTGGGGGAGCTCCGGTGAAGTCAAACACTCCGGCACTGGAAGCAGAGGAATACTGAAGCACAGGGACGTGTAAATGGGGAATCTCTGCTGGTGCTCCCAGCTCTGGGACTGGAGCACTGGAGGAGGAGCCAGCGACTCTTGGCAAACAGCCATTTAACCAGGAGAACTGTTCTGTCTGAACTGAAATTGGTGTCCCATAAAGCTCCATACAAACCGGCTCCTGTCAGCAGCCAGCCCATGTGGCAGCAATTCTGTGCCTGCCCAGCTCCCCTCAGGGCATCAGGCTCCGGTGTTGCCTCTGGGCAGTCTGGGTAAGCTAACAAGGAATTTGCGTTTTCTCTCTCCAGATCCTCAGCCGCCTTCCAAATCCATTTTAATTTTTTTTTTAATATTTTAACAGGGGTTGGGGAAAAGGGTGCTGTGGGATATCTGAGCAGCTTGGTGTGTGGTCAGGGGGCATGCAGCCTGGCTGGTACCACAGGCAGTTGTTACATGGCACAAACTTACTGACAGCTCCTCAAGTTCAGAGCAGGGTCAACCTTTGAGAGGCTTAAAAAGTTAACCTTTAAAATTAAATAGTGTGAGACAATGTTGACAGATAAATAAGCAGTTTAGACATATGTTTTAAAGGATTTAAAGAAATGTTTTCTAGACATGGCAGATGGGCAAGTTGGGAATTAATGGCTGAGTATTCCAGCCAGAATTTGGAAAGTTTCCCACAGAAACTCTTACGTTTGGTGGGAGGGAGACTCAAATACTGCAGACAACTGGAAAACAAACTCGAAACAGGCTGCTCAGCCAGAATTGCTCCACTCACTTTTATAGTTTAAACAAACTGTGAGTGTTGTGGAAACAAGTACCTAAATCGAGGTTTCAGAGGAGTTTGCAGAGTCTTTCATTCACCCAGTTCTAGCTTCCCGCAGCCTTCAGAGCAGCGTCCCTGGCTGGTTCTGGCAGCCAATTGCAGATGTGACCAGAGCCAGAGCTGGGGGCACCGTGGTGCTGCCCAATGTGGCCCTGCCAGAGGTCCAGAATCACAGGAGGACAACTTCACTGCCTGAGCACCTTCTGTGTCTCTTGTAGGGACTCTCACTGTGCCACAGACTGCTCGTCCTGATTGCAGAGGAGAGTGATTTGATCCTTCAGTGACAGGAGCATCCGCAGATGAGAAGACACTGACCCCAGTTAAAAGTGGTTGGATGTTCTAAGGCTGTTCCAAATCATCTTGAGAGCTTATCAGATCTGGCAGGGCAGCATGGGGCAGCTATTAGGAAAAAAGATAAGACCTTGTCTGTCTCTTTAATGAAAGTCTGGAAGTACCAGATAATCATGCTGAA